TCCCATGCATGTGTCCCTCAAAAATGAGCCCGGGATTGGGGAGCAGCTGGCTCAGTTGGAGCCTACTTAAAAAAAGGTGGTGGGGAATGAGCCTAGGACTAGTATGTTTATATATAGAATTATGGGATCACTTACCCAGATCTCTCATCCCCGGAATTCCTCAACTCTTGCTTAAAGTAGCTCCCTTTCCTGGTCTTCTGGCCAAAAAGATAGGTTTCTCTCAGAGTTTGGGCTGCCCATGCTGGCCACTGCAGTTCTACTGGGTGGTCACTCTTGGTTCAAAGCTGGGAGAGTAAAAAATAAAGCCATAAAACTTTACTCCGTATGAGTTGCTTTGCTAATTTGACTTCCATTCTCTATCCCGTAATGCCTTCATTTAGTTTTCGGTGACCACGAGTATATTTTAGTTGGGCTTTTAGTTGTAATTAGTGGGAGAGAGAGTTTGATCAGCTCTGAAAGTCCTAATATTTTTCTTATTTTTGAGCATTTTTCTATATCATTAGAACTCTTAATAATATTAACTTATGATCTCATTATAGTCTAGCCTGTGTATTTTCATTATCCATCAATTCTCTTAATTTTTTATTTCTAATATCTTATTATTACAGTGATGTGTAAATTTGCATCTAGTTTTCTGATTATTTCTTTAAGAAATATTTTTAGATACAGAATGAAAACTAGTTCAAAGATTATGATAAGGCTCTTAAAGCATATTACCAAGCTGCTTTTCAGAAAGGCTTTGCTAAAAATAAAGTGTTATGTGCAACTTTTTCTAATTTATATAGAAAAATAGATTCTTAAAGTTTGGGATCACAATTAAGCAGAAATGTTTATTTTTTATGCTCATGTATACTTTTTCTTTTGTAAACTATTTTTCTATGTCTATTACCCAGTTATTAGAATTATAGTTTTATAATAAATTTGTATGAGTTATAAATATATAAAGAAGAAACTATATGTGTATCTGCCCATTAGTGCAAAAGAAAAGCAGTAGAACAAACCAGAAACTAATGAAATTGTTTATTTATGGGGGGGAAGTGTAAGGGGAACAAAGCCGGAAAAACAGGGGAACGAAAACGGGGGAGAAGAGTTAGTGTGAGTGACACATCTCTGAATATAAATTTTTGTATAGTTCTGACTCATAGAACCATGTGAATGTTTTACAAACTTTAAAAAAAATAGATGGGGAATAAAAACTGATATAGAAACAGAAACAAATGAATCCAACTGTATTACTGTAACATAACCACTCCAAAGGGAAGGATGGAAAGGAAAGAACCAACCCAAGTTACTTGAGAAAACAATGTTAATTGAATATCCAAAGGCTAAACACAAAAGAAGTATATACAGATACTCTACTTCAATTAGCAGGCCTGTTTAGAATAGTAGTATAGGTTAGCAGTTTCTAAACAGTGTTAGGTGTATTTGAAGATTGAGGAAATAAATAAATAAATAAATAAATAAATAAATAAATAGTGGATATGAGGTCTAGTTTTCCAAGGAATTAAAAATGAGAACGGAATTTATAATCAACACTGTGGTGTTGGATTGAAATTGGAAGTATCAGTATGAAGTTTTTTTTTAAGTATATATAGATGTAGACACAAGTATACTGATAGATGAAGAAATACATATAGTTGTATACACATATATTTTGTAGTTCTGTCAGCTGAGAGGATCTAGAAGCAGTGATACTCAGTACAATGAGTAGATCTTGCACCCAGACCTTCATTTCTAAGTACCATTCCCCAGTAAAAGAATCAGGGCTATTTGGAGAAATGATTCCAAGACTAGAGTAGAAATATTACAAGAGAAATGTTTGTGCCAACACATCTGTGTGAAAAGGTATGGAAGTGCTAAAAATGATAGAGTCTATATAACTTTTCTATTGCTGCATAACAAATTACCACAAACTTAGCAGCTTAACACACACACACACACACACACACACACACACACACACACACACACATCAGTTTAGTCCAGGAGGTCAGAAGTCCCACTTGACAGGCAAGGTTCTCTGTTTAAGAGTGCCACAAAGCTGAAATCAAGGTGACAGCCAGGCTGTGTTCCTCTCTAAAGGCTCCAGGGAAGAACCCACTTCCATGTTCATTCAAGTTGTTGGCTAAATTCAGATCCTTGAGGTTGGAGGACTGAGGTCCCTCTTTCCTTGCTGCCTGGCTGCCGGGACTCACTCTCAGCCTCTGGAGGCTGTTCTCAGGTTCTTGTCACATGGCTCCCTTCATCTTAGAAGCCATAATTGCTCTTATATTGAATCCCTCTCACATTTTGCACTGACTTCTTCTGTCTCTGAGCTCTCCACCATATTTGAAGGGCTCATGTGATTAAGTCATACCCACATGGGGCATTTCATCTTATGATCAACTGGTTTGGGACTTGAATTACATCTGCAAAAATTTCTCACAGTAGTACCTAAATCAGTGATTGATCAAATGACTGGATGATACACCATGGTCTGGCAATCTTGGGGCCATATGAGAATTCTCTCCACCACAGGGTTGTATCAAAAAGACACAAGATACAGCAACCAATAAATAGAAATTGCTAGAACACGATCATTTAGGTCTGTGGACTCCAGGTAAGTGTTGAAATTCTTTAAAAGTAATCTTACCGTTTGCCTCAGTTTCAGGTATTGTCAGAGATCACTAGTAGTCTATCTACCTACCTATCAGGAAGATGGCAAAAAGGTGCATTTTCATGTACTATAAGGAAAAGATACATATATTTAGTGCCCACTATAGGTTCGGCACAACCATCGTGTCATTTCATCCCCACTCTGCTCCTCTGAGGTGGTTACTAATTAGTGTCCCCGTTCTCTGAAGATGATGCCAAGGCTCAAATTGTTCAGTGAAAATCACAGCACTGCACAGGTGGCACAATTTCCATCCATTAACCTTGCAAATGCAGAAGTGCACTGCCAATGTTAACCAGTATTCACACAATAAAAAACATGTTAAAAAAAAGAGGAAGAGCGCAAGGGCCAACTCAGAGGGCCTACCAGTGGCTAAATCTGTTGTGATTATTTGCACAACAAAATGATAGCAATGCATTATAATTCATAGAATAAAATATATGCCCACTAATCTATACTGTTATACATCACTGAATAAAAAATGGGGGTGAAAAGAAAGCTCTTGCTTTACAGAATTCCAATTAATAGATGTAGGAGGGATAATGGAAATAGAAAGTTACCATTTGACATATACCAGAGCAGTATTTCATGTAAAAATCATCAACATATCCTAAAATTCATGGGCAGAATATGATAAGTGGGATATTTATATAGTCTCAAAGTATCTTCCAGAAGATAATTACTATGTAAGAGAAGATATTAACTTTATAAGAGAAACCTGGCCAACATCACATTAACCAAGTAATCAAAGTTACAATCACCAATGACAAGGTGACATCCAGTGCCTTCTGGTGTGATGCACTAAGGATCCATCACTTCTACGGTGTTCTTACCAAAAATGTGTAAGTATGAGAAACATCAGACAAACCAAAATTGAGAGCTACCCTATGAAATAACTGATCAGTACTCTACAAAAAGTACTAAGGTGATGAAAGGCAAATAAATTCCAAGGAATTGGTTTAAAGGAGACTGAGAAGATACTACAACTAAATATAAAATGTGACCCTGGATTGAATCCTGGGCCCCAAAAAAAGATGTTAGTAGGACGGTAATAAAATATTTTGTACATTTTTTGACATATCCTTTTAAGAGTTGCCTGAAGTCACTCTTTCCATGGGAGTGGAAGGAGTCACTTAACTCCTAATAATAGTATCATAGAATTATATTAACATTAATTTCCTCATTTTCATAATTGTACTGTGCTAATGTAAGATGCTATATTAGGGAATCTGGGTGAAGTGTATACAACTTAAAAAAAATTCTTTTAAATTTCCATCTTAATTTATCCACCACGCAATTTTGCCAAATCATCTTGAGGTTCACTAACAATTTTTTCTAAAAGAATAGGATTATTTCAAATCTCTCTCTACACACACATGTATGTACACATCTTTACATTCTCATATTCTATATATTAAATGTAAATATTTATACCAAACTATATATACACCTATATAAAAATGTTCAGCCTTCAACATATTGATACCAAGTATTTTTCCTGAATCTTTATAATTTTGTATGCTATTTGACACATAATGCTCAAAAACTCAAATTGAGGTGTTTTTTTTTTCCAGGTAAGCTTTAACATTCATGGTGGGGCTTGAACTCACAACCCTGAGATCAAGAGTTGCATAGCTCTACCAACTGATCCAGCCAGAAACCCATCTGAGCACTCTTTGAATCTCCTATTCACTCACCTGCAATGTAGTATCCTATGAAATTTCTCGTTAAAGTAGATGACCACCTCCTACAGTTCATTAGGTGGACACGTCTTAGTTTTTACGTTGTTTCCAGTGTTTTACTATTTCCAATGTTTTACTACTTGCTCTCTGTGACACATCTTTTTTATGAACATCTTTGGTAAAATGCCTAGCTTTGTGATATGTTCCTAGAAAATGGTTGCCATTACCTTCCCATTAATAGAACACTTATTAATTTGCTCATGCAATTTTTATTGACTATCTACTATGTGACAGGCACTGTTCCTGGCAATAGGAAGAGCAGTGAACAAACACAGACCCCTTCCTACCCTCAAGTCAAACAGGAGGGGAAAGAAAGTTTGCCATTTTATTTCCACAGCAATTTAACTGCTTCCCCCACTTGCTTGCCATCCTTGTTATTTCAATTCCAATTCTTATCCTGAAATTTCTAGTGGCAACTTAAAGTGGAATTAAGTATAACTACAAAAAGCACATTTACTCAATTTTTTTAACCTACAATAAGGTTATTTATGAGAATTAAACAAGATGCAGTTAAAGTACTCAGTACATTGCTTGACAATAAACATAGCCTCTCTGAGGTAGATACTATTTATTGTTTCTCATTTTACAATTAAGGAACCTGGGGCTTGAGGATGAAAAATAACTTGCTTAATGTTACATAAGTAGAAAGTGGCAGTACAAGCCTTTGAATCATGTCTGACACCAAAGCCTTAATTCTTAACCACAGTACATGTCTTTTGTTCTAGAATATTCTCATTAATGTCAACCCATACTTAAATCCTACAGATATATAAAAAACATTGGGCTTTTTTTTCTCTCTCATGGGCATTTATCACCCTTTCTGAATTTTGGATCTACTGTCACCAACAAAAAACATACAAGGACAAGTTACTTGATTACAAAGAAAACATTCTAGATGTAGTACAAAAGTTAATTAACTTAATCATTGATACTCAACTCAAACACAAACTGCTTACTTTATTTTTTTAACAATGAAATAGTAATAACACAATAATTTAAGTTGTAACAAAGCCACCAAAAGAGCGAAATAAAAACAAAGCTAATTAAGAGGAGTTGCTTCATCTCAAATTAGTTATCTCCTTTAAATAGGAAAAACTACCATTAGTCTGGTGGTTCTCAAAGTTGTCTGCACATTAGGACTGGGGAAAAGGAGGGCTGGTGCTTAAAAAAATAGCTATAACCAAGGCCCATCTCAGTTAAATGGGAGTCTCTCCAGTGGGGCTCAGGCAAGGGTTTCTGAAGTGTCGTCTGTGTTGAGAACAAGTCTTAAGTTAGAAGCAATAAAAACCATGCCGTCAAAACAATTCAAAACCAAGAAATTAAGAAATACAACTAAATTTCTTTCTTTTCATCCTAGGAAAAGGGGGGAAGCACCTATTTGCTCCTCATTGTTCTTTATCCATTTAGGATTCCCCAACAAATATCAAACATTGGAAACTATGCAAACGTGCTACCCAAATGAAATTCTCACTACTTTACATTTAGAAAGTTCTTTTAAAACTATACCACCTTTAACCCCCTACATTTTAAGTTTGCATAGATGTTTCAGTCAGCTATCCATTCAACTTAGAGGAGTCAATACAATGTACTAGAAAGCATTTTATTAATAAGAGTTATTATAAAACAATATTCATTTCATGTACCACAAATTAACTTTTTGGTACAGAGAAGAGGAATATTTGAGTGTTCCCCACCTACTTCTAAAACTGTCAGAATTCCTTTCTATAAGATCAGTATTTTCAAATTGAGTCTAAACATAAATTTTTCTTTAAGAGTACATATATAAAACACTTCCCCTGTAACTGCACTACATCCTTGACAAATCCCTTTTGAAAGTTTCAGCACTGACTGTAGGCATTTATCTTTAAAACAACTTTTCCTCATTTTCCAGGTTTGGGAATGGTATCACATCAAGTATGGAAAATAACTTTTTTCCTTAAGAATATGTGAATTCACTTAAGAGGTGCCTCCTCAAATTCGGAAGAAACCTATTCTTCAGCCCCTCTGTCAGGACTCCATGTCAATCTCAACCACTTCATCCTTGCCCTGAAGCGTTGCTTCTGGCAGGTTGTCTTCAACTACATCTTCAATGTCTGCCAGATCAATAGGTGGTAAAGGATTCCTCCAGTACTGGAAGGTGTTATACTGCCAAAATTCTTCATTGAGCTTTAGGGAGAAAAGAAAGATGAAAGTACATCAACGGTTTGTAGAAAGTCATTTTTTTTTCAGGAAACAAATATTCTTGTTTTAAAAGCAAACTCACATTAAGATTTTGTGGTCTTTTACTTTGCATCCTCAACAAACACACCTTTAAATTCTGCCTAATCAAAGTGCTTCATGGACTCAGTCAAATCTGTGCATTTTCATATTCATGGATTTGTGAAAATATTTTGTTAGTAGTTTAAATTTAAAATAATTTCTTCCAAGAGCATCTTTTTTTTTTTTTTAAAGATTTTATTTATTTATTTGACAGAGAGAGACACAGCAAGAGAGGGAACACAAGCAGGGGGAGTGGGAGAGGGAGAAGCAGGCTTTCCAATGGAGCAGGGAGCATGATGTGGGGCTCGATCCCAGGACCCTGGGATCATGACCTGAGCCGAAGGCAGACGCTTAATGACTGAGCCACCCAGGCGCCCCCAGGAGCATCTCTTCTTGATAATTTTTTCCTATTTTTCAACCAAAGAAAACATTGGAAAACGGTCTTAAATTTTTTTTTTTTTAACCTTTCAGTGAGGGAAACAATTGAATACACACATACCTAAAACTTATTTTTGGTCTTTCCTCTGAGGTTTGGTATTTTAAGGGATTAACTTTACATTCGCTAAAATATTTTGATGCCTTGTCAAAAAACTTTAGGCTATAAACATGCTAAATATCAAGAAAATCTTAAACTGATTATTTTATTAAAGATACAATATTTGGTACATGGCAGGACTTTTAAATCAGTATACTAACACTGACAAATCCAAGGTGAGTACTGTCCTGTTTAAAATTCAACAGATTCCTTTGAATGGCTGTAATATTGTTTCAAGTTACTATGAAGTGAAGCTGATGTTCCAATGAAGTTCAAAATTGGCACAGAATTTCAAAAGCAACCCAAAAATACTTTGTGCAAGGAAGCAGCACTGGAATTATATACAGGATTCCAAGGTGACCAGTCTGAAGGTTAACACCCTACCCAGATGAGTATTTATTATCTATTCTACTCGGTTGTGTTTTCACTTTAGGCTCATATTTGCTGTAACACCACTATCCAACAGAAATATAATGAAAGCCACGTATGTAATTTTAAAAAGTAAAAAAGAAACAGATGGAATTACTCTTAACAATATTTTATTTGACCTGATATATCAAAAATATTATCATTTCAACATGCAGTCAATATTTTAAAAAATTAATGAAATATTTTACATTCTTTTTGTCATACTAAGTTTTCACAATCTGGCAAGTATTTTACACTCCCAGCACTATTCAGACTGGCCACATTTCAATGCTCAATAGCCACATGTTGCTAGTTACTTTACCGGACCACACAAGCCTATTAGGAAATTTCAGTAGGAAGTACACTGAGTGCCTTAGACACTAAGGCTTAGAGAATTAAGAGTGTCTTTGGAATTTCTTTACACTGGGGAAAAAAAAATGCAGTAATTCAAACGATGCCCCTCCCAAAATTCATTTTGATAAGCAAGAAGGGTTAAAAACAAGGGTCTGTATCTCTGCCTTTTGGAAAAAATCTACTGTTCAAAATATCTACTTATAAACATGGGCCCAAAAAAGATCCTTTAATGACATCAGTGTAACCTAGTAAGCTAAGAGCACAAACTTTGCCACCAGATAGACCTGGGTTTGCATGATAACTCCACCACCCACTAACTCTGACCTTGATCTAAGTCTGTTTCCTCATCGGTAAAATGCAGGGCTCTTTTTCTTTTTTTTAAAAATACATTTCTACCTGGGACGCCTAGGTGGCTCAGTTGATTAAGCGACTGCCTTCGTGCTCAGGTCGTGATCCTGGAGTCCCGGGATCGAGTCCTACATCGGGCTCCCTGCTCAGCAAGGAGTCTGCTTCTCCCTCTGACCCTCTTCCCTCTCGTGCTTTCTATCTCTCATTCTCTCTCTCTCAAATAAATAAAATCCTAAAAAAAATAAAAAAAAATATATTTCTACCTATCTACTTATTTATTTTGGGGGGGAGGGGCAGAGGGAGAGGACGAATCTTAAGCAGGCTTCATGCCCAGCACAGAGCCCAACTAGGTCCATGATCTCACAACCCTGAGATCATGACCTGAGCCAAAATCAAGTCCAACGCTAAACCGACTGAGCCACCCAGGCGCCCCCAGGACTCTCTTTAAAATTAAGGATTAGTACTGTAGGGCGCCTGGCTGGCTCAGTTGGTTAAGCGACTGCCTTCGGTTCAGGTCATGATCCTGGAGTCCCGGGATCGAGTCCCGCATCGGGCTCCCTGCTCAGCGGGGAGTCTGCTTCTCCCTCTGACCCTCTTCCCTCTTGTGCTCTCTATCTCTCATTCTCTCTCTCAAATAAATAAATAAAAAATCTTAAAAAAAAAAAAGGATTAGTACTGTAATTGCTCAATACTGCTAGATATTATAGCCCAAGAAACCCATGAATCATTCATTACTTTCTTCTTAGGAATAGGAAAAAAAAACATTTCTTCTTACTTTCCATTAAAAATAGCTAATAGTGAAGGTCAGCACAGAGCAATGAATCTGCATAAAGTGACACTATCAGGAGAAAACACAGAAATATTTAATTAAGTAATACCTGGTTTTATTTTAGTTCTCTGGCTAAAAACACCAAAACAAAACAACAGAAAAAAAAACAACAAAAACATCTGAGACAACTCAAAAAATATTCTGAGGTTGTAGGACAGAAAAAAGGTATCATTATTCTGCCTAAACTGAATCCTCAATGTAGAAAGGACATTTTTGAGAAACTTTTTCCTAAATGAGATCCCAAGGGTGAGAGTAGGGACCATTCCGAATGCCAGGAACCAGGGAGACATATACTGCATGAATTGAAAAGCCTTTTTAACTTCTCCATGTTTTCATTATACCCTGTATCTTGGTAATTCACTGGAAATCCCTTAAAACAAAAAACCTCCATCTTTGGAGGCAGGAAAGAGGGCTGGAGAAAACATGTTCCTCTCTTAAATTTGCATTAGACAAGAAGCTCACAAACAAAACTAACAAAAGGAAGAAACATGAGAATTCCTAGGTTTTTGCCAAAAGAAAAGAATAGGGATTGTCTTGGTGAAGAAGGTACCCCTATGGCCAAACTTAGTCCTTGCCATGGAGCTATAGTGACTAGGAAGCAGAGCGGCCAGATGTAGTCACTGCTGTGAAAGATACTGGTGTATGGGGCCCCTGGGTGGCTCAGTCGTTAAGTGTCTGCCTTCGGCTCAGGCTGGGATCCCAGGGTCCTGGGCCCGAGCCCTGCATCGGGCTCCCTGCTCAGTGGGAAGCCTGCTTCTCCGTCTCCCACTCCCCCTGCTTGTGTTCGCTCTCTCGCTGTGTCTCTGCCAAATACACGAAATCTTAAAAAAAAAAAAAAAAAAGATACTGGTGTGTCTAAGAGATTCTAAGAAGGGGTCTGTGTCAGTCCACTAAAAAATCCTCCGTATTTCCTTCTTATCAAGCTGTGGCATACTGCAGTCAATATGTTCTGGTAGAAAAGACAAGTCCATATATGGTTGGGGCGCCAAAATGGTCTCAAGAGGAAGAGTTTTCAAAGTGCACAGTAGTTATCTCCATATCAAATGGGTCTGGATGACTATCATTCTGGGGTTACTTTAGGGTTTGTCATTGGCAACACATGCTGTAACTGTAAATTCTAACTATTCTGTTTTCAAAACGTTAAGTGCTATCATTCGGTTTTAAGTAAGCGGATTTTGAACATCTAAAAGCAACCTGGAAAAAAAAAAGTCTAAAAACCGTTTTCTAAATTCCAAGACAACTGGGGGTGGAAATATTTACAGTTTAGAATTTCATCCAGAAATCCTCGTTACTGTCCAAAGGTAATTTCTCACAACCACAGAAAAAGCTCCTTCCCAACTACCAAATTCTCATTTTATTGGGTTTTTCACCAAGAAGTCCTGCCAAAGGAACCTCAATTCACTTTTTGTCTAGCAAGGCATTAGGTAAATTCTGCATAAGATACTTAAAACATTGGCAAAATGTGAGATGGATGCTATGATGTGGTGCTTGAAGAGTTTGGTGAATTGAGCCCTATATTTGGTCTTCCTATTCCCAAAGCTTCTGGTAAGTCAACCCAGAACTGCCAAAGGGCAGCCTTTAATTCCTAAGTCTAGACCAAAGCTGTCCAATATATAATGCCAGCCACAAACATAAATTTTTCTAGTGGCCATACTAAAAAAAGTACAACAGGTAAATTTTCATACATTTTATTCAACCAAGTATCTCCGAGTTCTTTCAATGGGTCATCAATATAAAAATTTTTGAGATCTTCGAAATCTAGAGCGTATTTTACACTTATGGCACCAACTCCATTTGGACTAGTCACATTTCAAGTTTTCAGTTGTTCCACACAGTTAGTGGCTGCCATATTGAACAACACAGATCTAGACAAATCAGCTCTTAGGTGCAGAGATGGGGCAGGCTCGTTCCCCAAAGAATAAGAACTCTTATATATGATCCTAGTATACGGTTTACTTTAGGGTCCAAATTAATTTTCAACAATGGTCCTTCCTCATTGGATCCGATCTAACCCTGTGAGTTTTTAAACGCCTTTTCCCAAGATAGGGAGGAGGGGCCTTCCTCTCTACCAAAAGTGCTGTCCCATGCTTGCAGGCCATCCAAGTGATGGCCACCACATTGGTCACCCTCTTTAGAAAGAAATCTATCACGAATTCTTGAAGAAATCACTGTTAAGCCAAGGAAGGCGCGCTGCACCGAGAAATTTCTCCATTTGAGCAGACCTATCGCGGTTCACGGTCAAAGTCTCCAGAAAGCTCAAGTCTGTCGCGACCCACACTCCTTCCCTCTTACACAGGACAGGCACTGAAGGTGCAAGCCCACGTCTACCTCACCGGACGGTCTGTTTTCCCCTCGTTTAGCCAGGTGCTTTCAGCCCACAGGACTCTCTCTCCCCAAACGCTGCCAAGAGGCCAAGGGCTCTGGGGCTCTTCCTGTGTAGCCTAGGAGTCCGAGTCCCTCCTGCAGCAGGGACCCCGGCTTTTCGCCTTTTGGGGCTTCTTGATGAACCCGAGTCAAGACGGGAACAATCTGTTCCCTCCCGGGGCGCGCAGTGGCTGCGTAAAGGATGATGCCCTATCCCCTCACCCCGCCCGCCCTCTGGAGCGCTCAGCCAGCCCCCAGCCCCTACCTGGCGCGGTGCTGCCCCCCAGTCTCCCCGCCGCGGCTCTGTGCGCCCCGCCCCGTCGTCGCCACCGCCCCTCGGGGGCCGGGCGCCCCGGGGCTCCTCCCCTGGCCCCGGGGGCCGCACGGGAGGCAGCGGCTGCGGCGGCTCGCCCGTCTCCAGGCCTCGGCCCTCACGCTGCACGCCGCCCGGAACGCTGCTGTCCTGGCCGTCGCGGCGCTTGCTGGGCGAAGCGGAAGGCTCAGTCATAGCCCCCGCGTCGATTTTGCGCTTTCGGGGCAGCTCCGGGACGCCGACCGGCTGCCCGGGATGGGAGGCCCCCGGCGGCGGGATCCAGAGCGGCGGCGGCTCCTCGGGGAAGTCGCAGAGCAGGAGCCGCTTCCAAGGCACGTGGAACGTCAGCGGCTCGGCCGCACGCCGCTTGGCCATGGGCTCCGGAGCCTCGGGCGGAGCCCGCCCGGCGCGGGAGGCCGAGCGCGGATAACTCCGGGGGCGGAGGGCGAGGGCGGAGCGCGCGAGGGCAGGCGAGGACCTGCTCAGGGCGAGCGGGCGGCGGGCAGTTGGGGCGGGCGGAGTGGGTGGGGCGGCCGGGCCCGGCGCAGCCCGCGCGCGCTGCCCTCACTGCGGCCGAGGTACTGCCGGACGTTGGGGAGCTACCGCGAAGCGGCGGAGATTCGAACCTGCGCATAAATGTGCGCGCGCGTACTCGCGCCGGGCAGGCGGAGCCGCTGGTTGGTGGAGACTCGCGAGGCGCGCTCCCGAACGCCCCCGCGGCCGGAAGTGCGCGCTCGGGGGTTGTGGCGGAGGCGGGGGGGGAGGCGGGAAAGCGGCCGCGGCTTTATTAAAGGCCCAGTGGCTTGGTCCCCCGGAGGGCGTGACCTTGTTTGCCGAGGGGTGGGGAGCGGCTGTGCAAATCCCGAGCTTGGTAAAGCGGTGTAGGTTTAAGACCTTTAGAATGTATTTGTTAATATTACCTTAACTCGAGTCAGTGGCCTCAGGGACGCTTCCAGGAGGTTAAAATCACCTCCAGGAGGTACAGACTTGCAGCAGACTAATGTTGAGAGGCTCCAGCGCCACACTGAATGATCATTTCAGGCGGACTGCTGTACGGGGGGTGGCGGCTGAGGGAAGTCGCTAAAGCCAACACGCAAAAACCAAGCGGAACAAAACAAAACCCAACGAAGTGTATGTTTTGCAGTGGCTGTCGTGGAAAGTGAATTGGCACCACGTTCTTCGAAGATCTTTTGATTAAACATTCACTGATGAAGTTGCAGAGGACATGTGCAGCTCATCGAAAATAGCTCATCCCAGAGCCAAGCCCGGAGCACCGCTCTTCCTTTTCCAACTGAAACCTAAACTTGTTTGGCTCTTAAATTATGTGGGAAGCACACAGAGTGCCCTTCTTACTCGGTGCGAGGGTCTAAAGTGAGATTCCGAGACCTTCCTCACAGCAGAATTTGTTATCAGGCGAAGGGAGGGGGATGAGAGCAGTGAATTTACGATAGCTTGTATTTTGATGGTTGATAAAGATAGTAACCAAGTAAACAAAAATGAGGAAGAGAGCTACATGATCGAGAGAAAGTGCAAGGAGGATAACTGTGCGCTAGCTGGTAAGTACTTAACCTCTATACTGTTTACCCCATGCTAAGGTTCTGAGAAGATAGGCAACGACTTACTTAATAGGCACAGAAATATAATAAGTTACGGTGTTAAATAGCTTTTCTGCTTGATCTTTCCATTCCTTCTTCTTTGAAATTGGATAACCTGTCAGTCTCAAAGAGCAGATCACACAGATCAGATATGAAAGACCTTACTTGTATTTGAAAAGTTTTGAGGGTGTCCTTCCCAAAAATGATAAAATGCGGGCTAGCTAATAGAGATACATTCCTTTGGGGTCCTCACCACAGACTCTGTTTTTCTACATTGTGAAATACATCATACATACAGAAGGTTGTGTAAAACACAAAGGAATGATAGTAAGATGCCCAGCACCCAGTTTTATAAATAGGATATTACTTGGGCCAGAACATGACAAGGTCCCTACCTGCTTCTCCCACTGGTGCCTTTCTCTCTTTCTTCCACTCCAGGTAATTGCTGTTTTGAATTTTGACTTAACCGTCCCTTTGCTTTACTTTGTAATTTTCTCATTTGTGTTTGTGTTCCTAAATAACATTTTTGGTTTTGCTGTGGTTTTTTTTTTTTTAACACTTTATGGAGCCTTAATTGACATAAAATAAAATGCATATATTTAAAGTGTTTACTTTGCTGAATTTTGACATATGTATATTCCTGTGAAATCATAGCCACAGTTAAGATAATACACATCTCCATCAGCCCCAAAGGTTTCCATTTGCCCTTTTGTGATTCCTCTCTCCTGCGCTGGTTCCTTCCAGGGGAAGGTAACCAGTGCTTTACTTTCTGTCATTATAGATTAATTTGCATTTTCTGGAGTTTTATATAAATGGAATCACAGTATATACTGTTCTTGTTTGGCTTCCTTCAGCACAATTATTTTGAGATTCATTCACGCTATCACATGTTCATTCAAAATTTTATTACTCAGTACTTCTCCATTGTGTGGCTGTATCATAATTTGTTTCTCCATTTACCTGTTGATGGACAAGTAGGTTGCTTCCAGTTTGGGGCTGTACAGATAAAGCTGCTGAGAACATTTGTGTGTAAGGCTTCGTATGGACGTAAGATTTCTTTTCTCTGGGGTACATACCTAGGAGTAGAATGGCTGGACCATGTGGTAGGTGTCTTCAGTTTTCTAGCAAATTGCCAAAAGTGGTTACACCATTTTACTTTCCCATCAGCAGTGTATGAGAACTCCAGTTCCTACACATGCTCTCCAACAATTGGTATGGTCAGACTTTATTTTTAGTCTTTCTAAACCGGTATCTCATGTATCTTATTATAATTTTAATTTACATTTCCCTAATGACTAATGATGTTGACTAATGATAGTTTATTTGCTATCTGTATCGCTTCTTTTTTTTTTAAATAATTTATTTGTGAGGGAAAGTGAGAGAGATCACGAGAAGAGGGGAGGGGTAGAAGGAGAAGCAGACTCCCCACTGAGCAGGGAGCCCAATGTGGAGCTCCATCCCAGGACCCTGGGGTCATGACCTGAGCTGAAGGCAGGCGCTTAACCGACTGAGCCACCCCCGTGCCCTGTGTCTTCTTTGTAAAATGTTCAAATCTTTTGCCTACTTAAAATATTGAGTTCTTTGCTTTCCTATTTTCCTTATTTAATATTTTTGTGCATGTAATCATATTTCATTCATTGATACTAAGTATGGTATTTCATCATAAGAATCTATTGATAAATGTTTGACTTTTTTCAGATTTTTGCAGTTAGAAATAGTGTGCAGGGGCACCTGCATGGCTCAGTCGTTAAGCGTCTGCCTTTGGCTCAAGTCATGATCCCAGGGTCCTGGGATCGAACCCCACATTGGGCTCCCTGCTCAGCGGGAAGCCTGCTTCTCCCTCTCCCACTCCCCCTGCTTGTGTTCCCTCTCTCGCTGTCTCTCTCTCTGTCAAATAAATAAATAAAATCTTAAAAAAAAAAAAGAAATAGTGTGCAATGAGCATACTTGTTCATGATTTTTTTTTTTAATTGAAGTCTAATTGACATGCTGTATCCTGTTTTCAGGTGTACATCATAGTGATTTGATATTTTTATACATTATGAAATGATCCCCATGATAAGTCTAGTTACCATCTGTCACTTTACAGTTATTACAAAATTATTGACTGTATTCCCTATGCTGTACATTGCATTCCTTGATTTCTTTTTTGACCTGTGGATTATTTGTGTTAACTTTTCAAGTATTGGAGGTTTTCCTAGATATCTTTTTCTTATTGATTTCTAGTTTAATTCCTTTCTCGTTTAATTCATTATCTGTGTGGTTTTAATCCTTTTAAATTTGTTGAGATTTATTTTATGACCCAGCATATGAATTATCATGGTACATGTAACATGTGTTCTTGGAAAGAACATAATATCCTGCAGGTATTCGGCATAGTGCTCTATCAGTGTCACTTAGGTCAAGGTGGTTGGTAGTGTTTCTCAGATATTATGTGTCTTTACAGATTTGGGGTTTTTTGTTTTTTTGGGGGGATTTTTTGGTCTAAACGTTCTATGAATTGCTAAGAAATAGGTGTTAAATATCCAACTAGGACAGGAGATTTTTCTCTTTCTCCTTTTAGTTGTCAGTTTTTTTTCTATGTGTTTTGAAGCTCCATTATTAGGCACACATATATTATGATTGTTATGTCTCTGATGTATTAACCCTTTGTTCTTATGAAATATCCCTCTTTATATCTGGTAATGCTCTTCATTTTCAAGTTGTCTTTCTTTGATCTTATAGCAGTTCCAGCCCTCTTATGCTTACCATTTGCACAGCACATCTTTTTTTCCAGCCATTTACTTTCAGTTTATCTTTATCTTTATATTTAATGTTTCTCTTGGAGACAACATATATAGTTGGGTCTTGCTTTTGTGGCATTCTGGCAGTTTCTGTATTTTAATTGTTTAGTGCTTTAACACTTGATAGAAATTACTGAGATGACTGGATTTAAGTCTAGTCTTTTACTATTTATTTGCTGTCTGTTCCCTTTCTTTTTTGACTCTGTACGTCCTTTCCAGACCTCTTTTGGATTAATTCAGTATTGTTTTGAATTTAAATTTAATTTAATCTATTAATTTAAATACCTCTTTGCATGAATTTTCAGTGGTTGCTGCAAGGATTGCAATATACATCTTTAACTTTCCACGGTTTACTTGAAGTTAACACTGTATCACTTCATATAAAGCAGAAATCTTGCAACCCTTCACTCCCACCCTCACCCTGTCCAGGTGCACTTTTATATTGACCCAATAGGATCTTCTTCCTATTCTCTAATTTTGTGTAAGTAACTCTGATTTCTTTCCCCAGCACTTCTTATGGATAATGACTCAGAACTCATCATTAGTAACAGCAAAGCAACACAGACGGATACTTTTCCCTTCGTGTCTTCTTGGTAAAGAAGGGATGCACACTCACATTCTGCTTATCTTAAAATTTGCCTGTTTCAGACTGATTAAAACCCTACAGCAGTTTAGGGTGGGGAAGTGGTTTGAAATTTTTTTAGCAACTGTGTATTCGCCAGACCTTTTACATATCTCATTTAATCCTCAGAACTCCATGACAGGTATTATTGCCAATTTAACAGATGAACCTCACCCCAAAGCATCAGACCCTTGTAACTTCTCAATAAGCCCAGTCCCGACCACCCTATTTAAAATTTCAACTCACTTAGCACTGCCCAGGACTCTTGAGATTCCCTTTGCCTGCTATTTTTTTTTCTATAGCACATACCACCTTCCAATTTATTACATGATTCACTTATTTATTATTCTTATTGTGTCCTTCTCTAAAAAGTAAGCTCCTTGAGGGTAGGGTTCTTGGTTTTTTGCTTATTTTTTTCACTTAGGATATGTTCAAGCACCTAGAACAGTGCCTGGCGTGTACCAGGTGCTCAGTAC